ATAGTGTAGGAACCCTATTTCAATATTGTGAATGTTATTTTTATATTGTGAATGTTATTCACAGCTCATGTTGCCCTAAGGTGAACACTTTAATTAATTAATTAATACTGGTCATTCCTGAATTGAATTGTGTATCATATTCAATATGTGGTGTTATTACTTAAATTAAACTTATTTTTGTCTGCTACATCAAGTGTCATTTCCTTATTCTGTGAATTATAATATGAACCCAATGTCACCACCACGCCTACATAGATAAACCGACAATAATATCACAGCATCAAAACATAACCACAGTGACATTTATGATGTCAAAAATACAGCGGTGACATAACTATATATATAAAAAGTTATATAGGCATTGATATAAGATATATAAGATATATAAATATATAAATATATTAAACAGAACGAAGTCTATAAAGCTCTAAGCCAGTGATGTTCAAACGGTGGACACGGGCTCTACCCGGCTCGAAACGCAATGGTATCAGATCCCCCCAAAAAACAACGTGTGCCTGCAGTACATAGTAAAACCACAACGAGGTCGTTCACATTTCTTCCATGTCACGTGGTAGTGTTGTTTAATATTTTATGGCCTAATTGATTTCATTGTTATTTTAATGTGAAAATGGCCTGAAGTCTAGATCTATAAATCCTTAATTAATAAAAAAAAGTACAATAATTCAGTAATTGATATGATTGTTTTAGTACGGTGATGCCCAACTTAAATCGACCTGCGAGCCATTTTAATTTCCGACACTCGTGTCGCCGGCCACGTGAACGAAAAGGTACAAAAACGAACTGAAATTGACCTGAAACAATTGGATTAAAAACTTCATTTATTAATGAGATATTTGACGTTTATCTTCATGCGTCAGAAAACGGCTTCATTTCTCCACTTAAAATATGAGCAACAGCATAGTTAGCTATACCACCGACTCATTTTCTTGTCTCTTTTTGGTAAATATTCCCATCGATCCTCCAATCTCTAAGGGTAGTTTAACAATTTTTTGTTATTCGCGGCTCAAACCAAGAATGCGTTCAAATTGGTTTTACAATGCCCATTTATGTGTTGCTCTTTTTTTTTTTTTTAAAACAGCCACATTTTTTTTTTACAAAACAAATTTGTTAGCTTAGTATCATGTTCCACAAAAAAAATAAAGGTCCGTTCACTTTTCGAGGTAGATTTTACATTCAGTCTCATTTTTTCATAAACGCATAAATTTTAAAAAGGTCATGGTACCAATCAATCGGAGAAGAATTGAGGGACTTAACATAGGTAAAGATACATTTTTGAACCTTTTTTTTGGGATTGGGGGGGGGGGGGGATTTTCTACACTTTGTGCCGACATTTCGGGTGGCCGCATGGAACCACGTCGCGGGCCGGATCTATTTTGGGCATTACTGTTTTAGCAGATCTACTAAATCTAGGCGCAGATCTAGAATGTCTAGTATTAGATCTAGTTCTTCATCTTAACATAGGGAGATAGAGTCATTGTTCTTATGATAAGACCATAACCACGTGACTTAGCTTATAGGTCAAAACAATCCCACTGTTCAGTGGCATTGTACTCGACTATTTCATGCGGTGATGAGGCCTGTGGTCCAAGACGAAAAGGATTGGCCTACCAGTGCAGTCTGATCAAAGTGTATTGAAAGAGATTCATTTCTAAATGTTTCTATTTGACAGCCTCGTGGTCCGCTGACCAGAAGACCATCAACCCCTCCAGCCAATGTCCAGCAGCTGTTGGAGAGCATGAACAAACGAAGGTTTGCTTAGAAAGTGTTTACAGTACGGGGAAAGGGGGGTGCGGGTTGAATGTAAACATAATGTGATCGTCTGGAAGCCAAACACCTGGAACTAAAAACAGTACACAGTGAATACAACTCTTATATTTATAGTTTTTTTTTTAAGCAGACGACAGCAAGTTAGTCAAGTTACTTCCTTCATGTTTACAAAGCTCCTATCAACTCTTGTCTGTCTGGTACACATTTTGAACACGTTAGTTCTCCCACTTCCCAGTCTCGCTTCAAGTTGAAACTTTGAATATTTATTCCTAGTTCCTAACTAAACACGAATCAATAAAAAAAAATGGACCAACCAGTTCATTAAATAGTGGCAATTAATTAATTTTGTTTGTTATTTAAAAAAAAAAAAAAAATATAGTATTGAGAAGTATGGCTGTAAGTGTAGAGTTTTGAACCCTTAAATAACCTTGTGTAATTTTTTTTTTTTTTTAGTCTTATTTTATCGTTATGTCTTTAATGTATAAATTGTTTGTTGCTGAATCTCTGCCCTAGGTAACTGTTTGAAGAGATCTCGAACAGAAAGCACGAGTAGCGAACACGAATCCTACAACTAAACTTGTAATAAACACATCATTACATGAGCATTGAACACATCAATGCAAGAATATTAGAGCCATCAAACAAAACACACCAATTATAGAACATAAAATTATACCTACATAGAGAGTTCGGGTATTAACTATGTATAATAAGAAGAACAGACTTCCGATACGTTAACAGCGTATTTTGCTAATTGAATGCTCTATAGTTTAAAATGTACTTAAAAGATCACTGGGAGAAGGCTTCATTGCATAGGCGCTCGCAAACACAACTCTGTTCGAGTCGGGATTCGTTGTTAGGTGGTCAATCCCTAGCCATGCTGCTTTTGCATCTCAGCCACACATCAACAAGTTAAAATGGCTTGGGATATAATTAGGATAAGTCTCTGGGATAAGCTATAGTTGACGGTATGATAAAATGAAGTTTAAAGGTGCCAAAGAGTTACAATGTAATTGCAGACTTAGTTATTAACTCAAGTCTGGTTTTCTTCACCTCTACACAGAGACAGAGTTCGAAAAGTCTGTAGTGACCCAGACATAAGACGCAAAAGTGAGGAGCTAAGTGACCACACATTAGTGTCCAGGATGCATCACTTTGTCTACTGTCCAGTGGAAAAATCTGCGTCCACGTTTTGGAGACGGTTTCTGTATCAGTTGGAGTTTACAAACCCCATGCAGTAAGTTCTAACTCATAGCCATAAGTTCAAACTCCTAGCAGTAGTTTGAAATTCTTTGCAGTAAGTTGAGACTTCATGCAGTAAGTTGAGACTCCATGCAGTAAGTTGACAATCCATGCAAATAATTCAACTCCAAGCAGTAATTTCAAATATCAAACAATACATTTAAATCACATGCAGTAAGTTGAAACTTCATGCGTATGCTCTCACGATATGTAGCAAATTTAAACAAATTGCAGTAATTTGAAACTCGATACAGTAAGTTGAAACTTTAAACACTAAGTTGAAACTCCATGGAGTAATTTGAAACTTTATGAAGTAAATTGAATCTCCATACAGTAAGTTGAAACTCCATACAGTAAGTTGAAACTCCGAGCAGTCTAGTTCATTTATCCACTGAGAAGATAAATCTATTCTAACGTTCTAGATACACTTACTAACAGTGGAACGATTGTATTTGTTCTACATCCTCTTGAAGTCGACTAGGATTATCTCCAGGGCACCCTAGAAGAGAAATACTCACAAAAATATGTAGAACTGAATCTAGAAAAAGGGAAGATAAGTGTTTTATTTGTTACTCAAACGAACTAGTGGGTTAGCTCTCTTAGATTTGCATAGTCTGTATTATAACGTCGCAATCTTCTCACTGTATTATGTATTAAACTAAATATTGTGTTTTTATATTTTCCCCATAGATCCCCCTTTAACGTGAGTGTCCGAGAAGCTTATGACGGGATGACAAGCAGAGTCAAAGTCTTTGAAAAGGGAAAGAAACTGAAGAAGTTACTGGAAGCTGCCACCAAAGTCATATTCGTCCGCGACCCGTTTTACAGGCTTTTCTCAGCCTACGTGGATAAGCTCATGTCTCCGAATCCTTTTTACTGGGAACTCTGGGGGCTTCCCGCTACAAGGAAATACCGGCCAGAAAAGCAGGCTTTGAAAGGGGCGAAACTCTGCGGCAGTAATGTGACATTTCCAGAGTTCATTCACCTGGTGACGGATGAGCTCTGGCTGGAAGAGTCACATGTTATGCCCATCTCCAGGATGTGTGACCCTTGCGGGTTCAACTATACCGTCATCGGGAAGCTCGAAACTTTCACGAGGGACACGAGGCTTGTTCTGGAGTACCTGGGTCTGAACGAGAACCAGGTGGGTCTGGATCGAATGTCTCACGATGTCTTCAGCGATGCGGTTAGGGACTCGGTGACGGACGCTCTCAGTGACAGCTGGCTGAACATGACTTTGAAGTGTGTCAGCCGGACGGAAGTGGCAAGGAGAATATGGCGTAAGCTCCAGCTGCGAGGCTTTATTAGCTGGAGGTTGAACTTTGAACTGCGACCGGAGGATGTAAAGACTTTGCAGTCCGGCGATTTCATCGATATTCTTGAGGCTGCAGCCAAAGCCTCTGCTGAGTTTCAAGACTTGCGCTTTCAGAAAAGACAGGCTCTTCAGGAGGCTTTAAAGAGCTTGAAGTCTTGGCAATATGACGAAATCATGCGCATCTTCACAGCTGACTTTCTCATGTTCGGATACAACTCTTCGGAGCTTCTTGGCAATTTACACAATGTGAAGACTACTGGCGCCTTTGATTGGTGGAAAGATTGGGACTTATCTGCCCTTGTCTGAAATATTTAAAACATAATACGGTTACGAATCTTGCATGGATAGGTATTTCTTTTTATTTATGCAATTAAATGAATTAAAATGCTGACGTTTTTACTATGCTACTATTGACAGTACCTCTAGTTAACTTGTACCTTCGTGGAAACTAAACATGGCTGGGTGGCTCAAAAACCTGAACAAGGATCTCGAAAACGGCGGTAACGATTTTCCTATATATTTGACAGTTTATTTATCACGTGGGGAAAAGAATTACTAGCTAGTTGGCCACATTGTGAAAACTCTGATTTGACATTTATAATTTTGCAAAGTATAAAAAGAAAGAAATTTAAATTAGCCCCCCCCCCCCCTAAAAAAAAAACAACAAACAAGAAGAAAATATTTATCTTGAACGGATTCTATTTTTTCGGGTATTTCCGCATTCATTCAAGTGTTTAACAAATTAATGTTTAGGAACATTTTACGCAGCGTCTTCTAAGTCGAAATCTAAACTAATCATAAACTCTACTAGTATAGTAGGTCGTAACGCTGAGAAAACATAGCAACTTTTCTAAGTGTAAAATGCCGAACTTTACCTGCAGGTTAAAAAGCTTTATATTATATTGGCCAGTATATTTATTAATATTAGTGTGCGTTTGTTCTATATTGAAACATGTTCTTATAGAACTTTAGTATCGCTAACGCATTGAGAACAGTCACAGTCAACCGGAAGTGACAGAACATCAAACCAATGGAGTAAACAAAAATTGCCTATTACAATGATTGATATTGATTATATTCCTTGCCATTGTTTAGTTTGATAATTTATTTTTTTAATATGCCAAATACTCATGTAATTTTTTTTGATTACAAAATATTGATTTTTGAAATAAAATATTTTTATTTACCAAGACTTCCCCACCTCTCAAGATCACATTCAATGTTCCGTGTTTACAATTTATTTGATAATTACAGTTTTTATGTAATATATATATATATATATGTATTTAATTATGCCGGCTTTACATGGTATAATTACAGTGTTAATAAAATAGATTGATTGTAAAAATAGTGCTGGGCCTGTGACACATTTTTTATGTTATTGTTAAGAAAAGTGAAATTGGAAGAGAAATGGAAGAAAGAGTCGTATCTATCTATCTATCTATCTATCTATTTGTTTATCTATCTATTTGTTTATCTATCTGTCTATCTATCTATCTATCTATCTATCTATCTATCTATCTATCTATCTATCTATCTATCTATCTATCTATCTATCTATCTGTCTATCTATCTATCTATCTATCTATCTATCTATCTGTCTATCTATCTATCTATCTATCTATCTATCTATCTATCTATCTATCTATCTATCTGTCTGTTTGTCTGTCCGTCCCTCCCATCCATCTCCTGACTTGTAAATACAACCACGTCAACACAGTGAGTAAGACCATAGAATCAAAGTGAGTTACTTCACAATGACATCTCTCTATCTGCCTATCTCGGGCCCGCATGTCAGTTTCACACAATCATAAAAATCGTTTGTTAGTTAAAAAAAAAAAAGGCTAAAAAATCAACTGAAAAGATCAATCAAAAGAAAGTTGGAAACTTTTACATTAAGTAATGGGAAGTTATTTCTTTGGTGTGTGTACGTATGTGTGTGTATTGATTTCTTTAGTGTGTTTGTGTATTGATTTCTTTGGTGTGTGCGTGTGTGTATTTATTTCTTTGGTGTGTGTATGTGTGTGTGTGTTTATTTCTTTGGTGTGTGCGTGCATGTGTGTGTGTATGGAAGAAGAGGGCTAGATGGGCTTGTTATGCGTAATAGGACTCACGCGATATACAACCTACCCAGCTGCATTTTTAATATATTCATTACATATTAAGATGTTACTGATTGAAAGATTGAAGTGTATACTGATGTGGTGTGCTTTTAACAATCTTGTTGTTGGTGTCAGAGTTGCATGGTGTAATGACACAATAGAAAGACAAGTAGAAGTTTGGGTTTAATTGGGTTTTTTTTTTCCTTAGTGACGTGACGGATCATAAAAAAGTAAGAACGGGAAATAGAGAACCAACGGACAAAGACGATTGAATAGCTCCTGCTGATAACTTCTAAACAGTTTAATGATAAAAAGGGCACGTCGTCTCTAATCTATCTCACCAGTCGGCCGTTCAAATCGCAATCACGTCATTCCCTCATTTTTAGAGGCCCCCGAAAGGGAAAAAGCCACTATTAGTTTTGTGTGGTCTGTCTGTCCGTCCCTCCGTCCCATTTAGATCTCGTAAACAAGAAAGTTCTGATGCAACGGCTTTTTTCTTTTCTGAAAGTGAAAAATTTAATTTTTAAAATCAACTATACAAGCAGTTTTTTGTCATAAAAATACACCATTTTTTTCAACTATTCACTAATATTAAATAATAGGGGAGACTAATTAGTAATTGCATACCTATTTTTTAAACACATGTATACAAACGGTCTTAGATTTTGTGAAAAAAATATTTAAAACATTGAATTGCAAAAGTAAGTAATTTCTGTCATACTAATAACTACTACATAGACTAAAGAATAATTGTTTTGAGTTTACGTTTTTTGACAGTGTTTAGCACGTCATCTTAGGGTCCAATCGCTGCATTAATCCTGTTTGTAATCTCTTCAATTGTGATGCGGTCTTTGTAAGTATTAAACTATATAATCATAACAACCAGTTCATTGAATACATATGAATAATAATAATGTAATAATATTAGCATTAAAAATCTCCGTATCTTGTGGTATCAAGTCATCAGTCGAACTGACAATTACAACAGTATCGGCAACACAATCGACACGTTGTAGTTGATCGTTTGTAGTTGATAGTTTGTAGTTGATAGTTTGTAGTTGATAGTTTGTAGTTGATAGTTTGTAGTTGATCGTTTGTAGTTGATAGTTTGTAGTTGATAGTTTGTAGTTGATAGTTTGTAGTTGATAGTTTGTAGTTCATTGTTTGTAGTTGATAGTTTGTAGTTGATAGTTTGTAGTTGATAGTTTGTAGTTGATAGTTTGTAGTTGATAGTTTGTAGTTGATAGTTTGTAGTTGATAGTTTTTAGTTGATAGTTTGTAGTTGATAGTTTGTAGTTGATAGTTTGTAGTTCATTGTTTGTAGTTGATAGTTTGTAGTTAATAGTTTGTAGTTGATAGTTTGTAGTTGATAGTTTGTAGTTCATAGTTTGTAGTTCATAGTTTCTGATATTCTTTTTGAAACCTGCCTCTTTATCTGCCTGAGTGGAGCACTTCGGGGGCGAATTTTGAGTTTGTGTTTCCACACAAACTATGATTGTAACTTTTTTTTTAATGCTTTTAAAAACCTATTTCTTTCTTCCCCTCTCTTTTTAACCAGACAAGTGATAGGATCAAAGCGTATTGAGAAAGTGATAGGATCATAGCGTAGTGAGACAAGGGATAGGATCATAGCGTAGTGAGAAAGTGATAGGATCATAGCGTAGTGAGACAAGTGATGGATCATAGCGTAGTGAGACAAGTGATAGGATCATAGCGTAGTGAGAAAACGATAGGATCATAGCGTAGTGAGACAAGGGATAGGATCATAGCATAGTGAGAAAGTGATAGGATCATAGCGTAGTGAGAAAGCTAAAGGCATCAAATAGCGCTACACAAAAACAGTTGGTAAAAATATTTCTACTCGCACAGATTTATTGATGTTGGTCTATATTTATAATAAATGTAATTACATGTCTGATTCAAACGAATTGATACAACTACACTTAGTATAAGCTTTGTTTTTATAAAATATTGATCTTGTTGTTCTGATTTATCCAACTGTTACGTTCTTTTGTTTATACATTCCCAGCATGCACATTTATTTGAACTAGATGTATTGATTTTGTTGTCTGAAAAGGAGAGTTAAGAGAGTGAATAGAATACCATTAGAGTGATTAGACTTCGTTGGTTCCCTGGAGTGTAAGAACATAAACCCCATGCACTAGCGATCCAGAACTTTGGAGTGGGAGGGCGATTTTTTCCAAACCCTAACCCTAACGCCCAGTAAACCCTAACCCTATGTGTAAACGTGCGTACAACACACAAACACACATATTATATATATATAAATATATATATATATATATATGAGAATAAAAAACAGCAGTATTTCTCAACCTTCGGCAAAAAACAAAACAACTGGGGCGACGCTATAAGGTTCCCTAGTAAGGTTCGGGACGAAGCCCCGACGCCAAAAGCGTTTTCTTGCATTCTTCATTGCAGAAACGCATTCTCCTGATAACTACAGCTCATTTTTTATCAGTGGAGTTCAGGGCGAAGCCCCGACGCCAAAAGCGTTTTTTTGCATTCTTCACTGCAGAAACGCATTCTCCTGACAATGACAGCTCATTATTGATCAGTGGAGTTCAGGGCGAAGCCCCGACGCCAAAAGCGATTTCTTGCATTCTTCACTGAGGAAACGCATTCTCCTGACAACTACAGCTCATTATTCATCAGTGGGGTTCCGACGCCAAAAGCGTTTTTTTGCATTCTTCACTGCAGAAACGCATTCTCCTGACAATGACAGCTCATTATTGATCAGTGGAGTTCAGGGCGAAGCCCCGACGCCAAAAGCGTTTTCTTGCATTCTTCACTGCAGAAACGCATTCTCCTGACCTAAAGCTCATATTCATACTATTAAAAAAAGGACCATTTGAATAATGTTGTACTTGAAAAATATTATAATATGAATTTATAGGCCTTTAATACATTGCAAATAAAACCGATTTGTTCCTTGAAAAGATAAGATACCCCACATATTTAGATTTTGGCTTTGAGGATCACCGCCGAAAAAAAATTATTCGATAAATAATTTTCAATTAAATGCAAGTATAAATTTTGAATTATAGTCCCCAAATTTATTTAACTACAAAAATATCAGATTGAGTAAAGCTTGGGAAAAGGCGACTATGAAAACATTATTTGGGTTTAGAACTCATCTCAATCATGACTCTTATGCTGAAAATTTTCGTTTCAATTCTAACTTTCTTAAAATAATTATGATAAATTCATGTGAAATTACATAAACTCTGTCTGGAAATGGGAGGGGCGGTAGAGTGAAAACGATTAATCTTTGCTACTTCAATAATTTCTGTTTAAGATTGCATTTGTCATTAAAGAATAGGGGTGGGACGACTCGATATAAGAATTTAATTTATAGTATATATACATTATATTAGTGACAGATTTTTTAAATTTTGTAATTTCTTAACTATAATACAAAAAGAAAAAGTATTGGTTTGTCCGATTGGTTCACATATCAATACATTGTTTTTATTAAATTGATATTCAACTAATTTTGTTCACAATCTATGATTCTCCATAAAAATAGGACCGCCCCCCCCCCACTCAGAGGGCTAGAGTGGGGAGGGCAGTACATGCAATCACCCTCTCCACAACCCCACCGAATCGGCTAAGATACCAGAAGGGGAGCGACATAATATAAAATGTATATATTAATTCAACTAATTTTGTTCACAAACTATGATTTCTCCATAAAAGTAGGACCGCCCCCCCCCCTTAAAGGGTTTAGGTGGGAAGGGCAGTAGAGGTATTCGCCCCTTCCCATCGGCAAACAGGGAACGACCATATAGATATTTAATTGATTCTGTTAGCAAGCTGTGATTTCTACAAATAAATTGGACCGCCCCCCCACCCGAAAGTGTAGGGGGCGGGATTGATACCATCGCCCCCTCCCGACCCCAGCAAATCGGCCAACATA